ACCCTCCCAAAAATGGTGTCTCAGCACAGACACCATGTGCATGGAAAAAGATACTAAACACCATTCATGAATATGAACTGTTTTGTGTATTAAAAACACAGAATAATGAAGCACCAAATTCAGGGTAGTCATTACTTATGGTGGAGATGGGGATTGAGGTCGTGTTATGCTTTGTATCTAGATGTCCCCCAGAGCCTCATGCACTCATAGTTGAGGCTTTTGGGGAGGTTACTGGATCATGGGGGTGTGATACTTGTCACTGGGTTAGTCCACTGAAGGGTTTATAGCTGGGTGTGATGTTGGGAGGTAAAGCCTGGTGGGAACAGGTAGGTCATTGGAGGTGTGGCCTGGAAGGATATGCATATATATATATATATATATATATATATATGCTCCTTCCTTGCTCCTTCTCTGCTTCCTATCTGCCATGTCATGAACTGTTTCTCCTCTGACATGCCACTGTACCTTGGAGCCAGCTGATTATGGACTGAAACCTCTACAAACTGAGCCAAAATAAACCTCTCCTCCTTTAACACATTCACTGTGGAGCTGTAATTCATATGTCTTGCTGCTGGGCAGCTTGAACCTGCATGACTGTCCCATCAGGTGGCTTTTTATTAATTTTGTTAGTAAAAAGACCAATAAAAGTGATTAGATCCATTTGTACCATGAGTGGTACGAGCAGCCCGATGGGACAGTCACACATGTACCACTGGTGCTTCAAGCTGGTAGTAGCAGTTAACTTGGGGGTGTTGAGTATTTTCTCCCAGCAATGAGAGAGTAACTAAGACAGGTAGCAAGGGACAGAAAAGGGACTATAATTACTACCTGTCATGTCATTTCATTTAGAAAATCTGACCAGCATTGCAAAGTGGGAAGTTTGATATGGCAGAGTAGAGGTGCCCGGGTACTTGTACACCATCTCTGCAGGGTATTGTTTGAAACACTTCACATACATACCCAGGGTCATCACTGATGGTAACATTGCCTACCAAAGACCAAGGGAGACTTTCTGGCTTGGCAAATGCACTGTGGTCCAAGAGTGGGCATTCAGCATCCCAAACCCAGGGACTTTTTTGCTTTGCCTTGTTTTGCCACCAGCAAAAGAGGTAGACCTTTCAGGGCAGACTCAGAAGGAGTCCACAGAGCAGATGAGTTGAAGGCCAGTTGGGTAATTTGTGAAGTCCATATCACAGCACCCATGGCCTAGAGATAATGTGGCCTTGCCTAGAGCCGCCACCGTCTGTGCTTAAGATATCACACAGGGAAGCAGAGGCAGGGGAGTGTGTGCCTATGTGGAGACTGGCCTTCTGTGACCTGACTCCCAGCACGTCTGCCCCTGCGCTGGTGGACAGTCCTGATCAGAACACCTCGCCCAGGGATCCTGCCTTTGGGCTCGGGCTGCAGGGTTGGGAAGCACTGTAGAGGGTCAGCATTGCTTTTGAAGCCTGTTTCCATTTTTCCCATAGCGGAAACCTGGCTTTGTGAAAACATGAACTAATGCTTAATTACTAACTGCTGTGTTTTAAATGCTCTCTACAAAAGTCATGTCGAAATGTAATTGCCATGGCAGTGGCATCAGGAGTGGAGCTTTCAGAAATGGTTGGGTGGTGAGGGCCCCACCCTCAGGATGGGTGAGTGTCACTGTCTCCAGCATGGGTTGGTTGTGAGTTTAGCCCCAGTTGCCCTCTCTGTCACCAGTACCTGTGTGTCCTTCACCATGTTAGGATGCTGCATGGGGGCCCTGGCACCATGTTCCTGGACAGCCCAGACTCCAGAGCCTTGAGCAAAATAAACCTGTGGACTTCCTAATTACTCAGTATGAGGCGCTCTGTTATAGCAGCAAAAACAGACTAACACTAATCATTTTTAATTACTTAGTGTTTTTCTTTAAAAACTGAGTTACAGGTGCCTCTAGGAGAGTGTGTTTTCCCATGGTCTTTCTTTCCTGTGACCCTCTGTTTGGTTTTGGTAGCCATCTCGCAGCAAGTGTAGTTTTGCTGCCGGCCACACACTCTCCCTGGGCATCTCTCACTTACTGTCAAGCTTGTTCCCCCGTCTGCCCCTGCTTTTCCTTCTTTGAGCTCCTGCAAATCTAAGAACCTTCTCCTTTTTTACTGTGACCACCTTGTTCTGGCACTGCATATGTACTTGAAAGTGGACCCGCTTCCCACTCCCAAAGAACTTGACTTGTTGGCCTCATCTCCAGGTTACTAGAAAAAACCCCACTCCATACCCTGTACCTAGATGGCAGCCTCTGCCAATACCAACTGCTGTTTTGGTTTTTTGTCTTAATCTTTATGTCAGGTCTAGTTGCACACACCTTCAATCACAGCTACTTGGGAGGCTGAAGCAGGAGAGTTTCATGTTGGAGGCCAGCTTGGGCAACTCAGTGAGACTCTGCCTAAAAAGAAAAAAGTCCGACAATGTATGCAATCCCTGGGTTTAATTCCCATTAAAACACAACAAAAGACTTTATGTCTGGTTTTTCTCTTTTTTTTTTTTTTGTCATTACTGGGGTTGTTCCCAGGTACAGGTAAGCTTTGTATCTCTGAGCTGCATCTCAGCCCTTTTTATTTTTATTTATTGTTTTTTTTGAGACAGGATCATGCTAAGTTGCCCATGCTGACTGCAAATTTGTGATCCTTCTGCCTCAGCCTCCCAAGTATCTGGGATTGCAGGCATACAATGCCACACCAGGCTGTGTCTGGCTTGAAGTCTTCAGTTTACAGGAGAGGAAGGTTTTGGTGACCCTGTAACACTCGACCTGTAAAAGCACATGCAGGGCCTAGTCTGCCCCACACCTGTCCTCTTCTCAGTGCCTGCTGCTGCTTCCTTTGGGACATTGGATGGGCTCAGGTCCCCAAGGGAGGATGTAGGAAGGCCCTGGCTGCCGTGCTGGCACCCCCACACTGTTGTGCTGAGCTTTCTCACTGCCTCTGGGGCAGCAAAAGGCTGTCGCAGGGAAAATGGCTCTTTAAAAGGAAATTTTATGCCTTTGTTAAAGACCATCTCCCAGCCTGCCTTTTCTTATTCACGGCATGAAATGCTTCCATTTTTACTTATTATTCCCCTACCTTGAGGGTGGGTCTCTCTTAAGTCCCAGTTGCCAAGTCTTAGCCAAACTTGATGCCTTATGAATATGTAGAGAAATTTTAATAAATGGTGCAAATGCAGCAGCCCTGCATGTTCAGGAGCCCTGCGAGAACCAGACGCTCAAGGAGAGGAGGCTTCCTGCAGAGAAGAGGAAAATGAAAGAGCAGAGCATGATTGGATCTGCTAGGTTTTCTGTGATTTGAGAGTGAAAAATGCTACCTTGTGTTTCCTTCTGAATGTTCGCATCCAGCCCGGGTCTGCATCTTAGTCTTCCCACAGAGTTAAGTGGAATCTAATTGCTGAGGAAATTGAGGCCTCTCAATGTGGGGGTCTTTATTTCATTAGCATTACAGATTGGGGTCTTGGGAGTGACATTATTTGGTAATTTGTTTACAGTTGAAGCCTTCAGATTCTCACTTCCTTAATCAAACTATCTGCTAATTCTTAAAATTGAAATAAAAACTAGCGTATCAGTCTGCTTGTCAGTAAAGCTTTGGACACAGTGAGTTTATAATTCCAGAATGTCCCCAAACAACAGTGATTGTTACGCAGTTTTTTTATGGTTAATTAAAACAAGCTGGCTTTATAATAACCAAAGATTCTGACCTAATAGCTGCATATGGTGCTGCTTTTCCTGTGCATATTGAAAAAAATCTGCCTCCTGGGGTCATTTTCACAGCCCTCAGGTGAAGTTTGCAACTGCCATCCATTCTTCCGCAAGAAGCACTCACTGTCCACTAGCTGCTTGAGCATCCCCTTCAGTCCTTAGCAACTTGAATGTTTTAGCCATGGCTGAGCTCCAACTTTTATTAAAATCTGTCTCCTTTTCTCACTGATTTCCTGTACAAGAAAGTTGCTGTCTTTAATTCTGGGAGCAGTTAATTCGTGGCTGTGGAACCCACATTAACAGCTAGAACATAAACCAAGTCTTTAGCATGTTACCCCCAGAAGGTGTTCCCTTGTCTGTCTTGGGGCAGAATACTCTATGACAACAGTGGCACAGAAGGACCTCCTGGCTTCCTTGCCAAGCCAATGTCTGTAGTGTCACCAGTTTGGTGACTCTGCTGCATTCAGCTACAGTTAGCAGATTGCCTCTGTCCCTGAAAGCTCCCACCCTGCCCATGGACCTTGTTCTCTTGGGACTCTGGGAACATTGCATTGTGCTTGTATCCTCCAATTCATAGGTTGCTGGGTAGTCTCCTTGGGTAGATTCTGCTGACCTCTGTCCTCCCTTGATGTCATTTCTACCCTGTGATACTTCGACATCTTCAGCCTGCAGCTGCGTGAGTCCTGTTTCTAAGTAGCATTCAGGGATCTTCCAGCCAGCATCTGTCCATGGAGCCTGAACTGGAGAGGTGCCTGTTGATTCCTGTTAGATGAGCTGTGCTGCCTGCTGCTCAGGGAATGGAGCTACGGACCAAGCTTACTGATCAGCTCGCCATCACTTAGTTCCTTATGTTCTGATAAGGGAGAATGGGCAGTGCATCCCCTTGCCCATGAGAACCAGGTTCTGGCCCTTAGGAAGCGCACAAGCTCATGGTGGACAGAAGGCTAATGGGAGAAGAGCAGAAGCACAGGGGCCCCAGGGGCGACTGCGAGGAGCACATGGCTAGAAATGTTTGAGCCAGTAGAGAGGGTTTCACTCTGTGACAGCATACTCTCTTGTGTGTTAGAAAGGTGTTCTCAATCTTTTCTGTCCCAAGAGCTGTCTCTGAGGGTGACTTCAGTTGTTTTGTCTCCATGTGTCATCCTAGTGCTGCACCCCACAGCTGACCCGTGGCTGCTGCAGCTGATGGGTGGTTCATTACAGCTGATCCTCGCTGGCAGCTTGGCCTGACTGTGACCTCAGAGGCTGGCCACAACCCTTCTGCTGTCTATGCTCAGGATACCTCTCTCCCTCGCAGGTGTCAGAGGAAGCAGTGGAGGGTGGACTTGCCGGCCACCAGTGTGGTAATCACATTCCACAACGAAGCCAGGTCAGCCTTGCTGAGAACAGTGGTCAGGTGAGCCCCAGGGACACCATCATTATCTGTGACATCCTTGTGGGAGCATCTCCTGGTGGGGTGCTGATGCGAGTTATGTCCCAGGCAGTCAGGCCAGTAGTGGGTGCTTCAGTAGTGGATGCTTCAGACAGGGCATCCGGACCCCTCAACACCAGGAGTGTCTACTGGCTTCTCCAGCCAAAGATGGGCCAAGATAGGATATGTCCCTGTGTAAGTGAGGCCTCTCTGGGCCCACAGCCTTTACCTTCCTATCTTTCCTCAGTGTGCTGAAGAGAAGTCCACCCCATCTCATAAAGGAGATCATCCTGGTGGATGACTACAGCAATGATCGTGAGTACCAGGAGTGTGGCCCTGCCTCCCACACAGCCCCCTAGGTGGGATGTTAGTAGAGTACATGGGGCCACAGGGAGGGCCACCTCTCCTGGGCCCCAAGGAAAAGGCCAGCCTATAGATGACCAAGAGGTACCATGCTCCAGTGTGGAGCTCCATTCAACGTGGGGTTCACCATGCCCTTCTTTTTCTTTCCTAGCTGAGGACGGGGCCCTCTTGGGGAAAATAGAGAAGGTTCGGGTCCTAAGGAATGATCGCCGAGAAGGTAAGTCTCCCTTCTTGTATAGGTGTTGAAGTGGCAGAATTTTGACTTACCTGAGTCCTGTAATACCTTAAGGAAGTGCTTTGGCTAAGAGAGGGATTAGTGGTCTAGTCTTTCTGTCTCTCCCCTCTCCCCAGAGCAGCTAGGAACCGTGTCCCAGCAGATATAGGAAGAACAATTAAAAGCTTAATTGAAATTGTGTATGCACTAGGGCAAGAGTGCAAATTACACTTTACTCACCTACTTAGAAAGTGGGCTTCTCTCTTTCACAACTGAGAAAATCTCCATTAAGTCCCTTGACTTGTTTAGAGAAACAACAAAGATTTAGCCGTAAGAAGTTTAATGACTCCAGACTCCAGGCATCTGATAAAATAACAGGCTTAAGTTTGACAGCCTGCTGAAGCTGAACCATCCAAACTGGGGGGGATCACTTTAATTATGCACTTGTACAACTCTGTAAATGCCAACCCCAGAACTGCCATCAGTCATGTCCGAGTGGAGCTCACTCACAAGCCTGCTGTAAGGGTGTAGAAGAGCTCTCTGGGGAACGTGCTGGGCTGACAAGTGAGTCTGGAAGCTCAGATCAGCATAGTCATCATCCAGGGCAGTCTAGGGTGCAGCTCAGTGGCAGTGTACTGGTGGCTGGATGCTTAGCTCCTTTTCAGGCTGGAGAAATCTTTCAGTCCCTGAAAGCCCCAGAGCTGGAGAACCCCTGCCACTGCCACAGTCAGAGGGTGGCCACTAACCCAGGATCCAGCTGGATTCCTCCATCAACACATTCTTTCTCTGGTTCCCTGAGTGGTCCCACTGGAGTCAAGGAAGGAAAGTATCCTTAAGCAAGGATCTGACAGCACAGAGATCGAGCCCCTTGGCAGTACTGTCCACACCTGTTCCAGCCACTGAGAGCATCGGCACAGATGTTGAATGATACCTAAACTTCCCCTGAGGGAGCTCTGCTTGCTAGATGCACACCAGTCCCCCAAACCTACAACAAACCAAAAACCTTACAATGTGCTGCATTATTTTTGCCCTCTAAACAAGCTACAGAATAACTTTATGAATTTAAACTTAAACATATGCTGTCACAGACATCTAGAAAGGGAAGTAGTACAGGCTTTAAAAGAGGAGGAGGAGGGGAGGGGTAAAGAGGGAGAAGGAGGCGGGGGAAAGAAAGGAAGAAACTATGTTCCATGATGGTAGTTTATAACTGATAGAGCACTTGCTAGTCTTATCAGAGCGTGCACTTGACCTGCTTGGAAATCAGAACAGTATGTCTAGGTATTAACTCAGGTGCTTTAAATTTGGGGGTTCACTGGGCTAAGAACCTAGGTCACTGTGAGGAGGGAATGAGAAGAGCGGGTGTTGGATGAGGGGAACTTCAGCTATGTGAAGGTCTTTCTTAGGACATAGTAGTTCTGTTTGTCTTCCCAGCCACACAGTTAACTATATTCTTTAAAAATTCCTGATAGACTCTGCCTTGGTAACCACAGGGCAGCACTGACCCTGCCAGTCAGGTCTGCAGGGAGCTCAGTGCCCAGCAGGCAGCCTGTCCTTATCTGGTCTTCCCTTCACTCCACAGGCCTGATGCGCTCCCGGGTCCGGGGTGCTGATGCCGCCCAGGCCAAGGTCCTGACCTTCCTGGACAGCCACTGTGAGTGTAATGAGCACTGGCTGGAGCCACTGCTGGAGCGGGTTGCTGAGGTGAGGCTGCGTGGTGGGCATAGGAAGGACGGTGTGGGGAGGAGCAGGTCATGCTGGCTGCAGGATTCCTGGACACCAGAAAAGCTGTCAGCAGCCCTGGGATATTAGTTCAGAGTGTTTCATGGGCCTTGGGGATCCACTGCCATGGGGAACAGTCACTTGAGGGGGGAGATGCTTAGCAGAGACTTGTGGGCACTCTGCTGGCTAAGGAATCTTCTGCACCCTCCGTCTTTGCTTGTAGCTGACAGCAGCTCTGGGAGCTTGGGAGACATATATGGCTGGAGCATGCCTGACATCTGGGAGTACAATCCATGCTGGAGACACATCCAGGACCTCTCTGCTCTCAGTGAGGACTGGGCTGGCTGATCACTCGAGTCTCACGGAGAGAAGTAGGCTGTGGTCACTGCCCAGTGGCTAGGCAGGGCCATCAGGTTGACCATGGCCGCACTTTGGGCACCCTTGGCCTGCTGGAACCATCATCACAAATAGTAGTGTGGCCCTGTGTTATTTTTCTGCCTTCTGCTTGTTTTATTGACTTTCTCTCCATCCTGCTATGAAAGTGTTTCCTCAGGGGCAGTAAGACAAACCCTGTGTAGGGAAGTGGAAAATTAATAAGCCCTTTTGCCCTTACCATCACAGTGAGAACTGACAGCCAGCACGTCACAAAATACTAAATAACCAAGGGCTGCCCACAATTACAAAGATCCCATTCACTGCCCTTTACTGGGTTCAAGCAACACACTAGGTGCTTGTTACCCCCACTTGAGATGGGAGATGGCTGTAGCCCTTTGATAATGTTTCCCAGACCATGCAGGTGGCAGATGGTAGGATGGGTTCCATCTGATCCCAAACTGAGTTGATTTCTTATGTACACCTGTACATGTGCACCACAGAACCCACCCTGGAATTCCCCCCTACCCAGCCCTGCAGAGATTCCCACTGCCACTGTCCTTGGAAAGCAGAGCCGTACCCAGGTGGCCACATGTCGGTGTCCACACAGCCAGTGGCCTGTGTGGAATTCAGAGCCATCTCACACCGGCCTCTGTTACTGGGAAAGTGCTGAGGTGATTGACTCTCACTAGTTCTCATCTTATCAAAAGAAATACGAAACATATATTCTTTGACCCTACCCACCCACCCAGGGCCAGACTGAGACAGGTTCATTCTGTTCTCAGTGGCTGTGCAGACTGTTTTCCCTGTAAATCTGCATGTGTGGTTAGATTGTTCCTTCTTCACTTATTCTATTGTGAGATTGTTTTTCCAAGTCTTCTGCTAATGAGGGCTGCTGATATGGCCTAGGGGAAGCACTCAGCCTGTGACTGTGTACTGAGGGCTGGCCATGGCAGCTGTGGAATACAGAGGCCTAGCAGTGAGAGGCCTCAGTGTGGAGACTCTGTGCCCCTGACACTGTCACAGAGGTGGCTCAGGAGGGGAGGATTTGGTGGAATCACCCATGGGGCCAAGCTTAGGACTAGAATCCTCTGGTTACCTCAGTTTCCCCTCTGCTATAGTAATATTGATACTCTCCACATCTTTCTCACACTCTGTATGCAGCTCTGGTTTTGTGGGCCTGCTCTTAAGCTCTGCTGCTGCCCTTCAATGATAATAATAATAACTGATCCTGATGCAGCTGGACTTAGATTCCATGAGATGACAGCAATCCTGTGGTTGAAATTTTGGAGGCAACCCAGACCTGCTGCACAGTCCTTGCCTTTAGTGGGATGAACAGATGGCAGAAGTGTCCTGGGCCCAGCTGTCCCCTCAGGTGGGAGGCTGTTGCTCTGTGCCATGATTGCCTGGCAGGGAGGCCTGGGGACACAGACTGTTGGCTGTGCTGGAATCTGACCAGCTGCTCTCCTCTCCGTCCTGCTCAGGACAGGACTCGAGTGGTGTCGCCTATCATCGACGTCATCAACATGGACAACTTTCAGTACGTGGGGGCCTCTGCTGACCTGAAGGGCGGTAGGTGTCCATAATGGTCTGCCTGCCCAGCTTGTCTCTGCGTCAGGAGTGACAGTGACAGCAGCATTTACCTCACAGCGTTTTCCCCAAGAGAGTGGCTACATTCTGCCTTTCATCTCCCTTTTTTCCCAAAGTGGCTGCCTCTTTGAGCTTCATGGCTCAGAGTAGTCCCGTTGTCCTCACTGGTCAGTGATGGTGAGACCTCCAGATGGTGCTCTAGGCCAGGGACTCTGGGGGTCCTTCCTGACAAGCAGGACAAGAAGAGCACCACAGAACTGAGGTTTTGTGCAGGAAAGGGGCCAGGGCCTGTCTGTACCTGCTCTGCTCACCCAGCACTGTCCCTGGTAGCCTGTGCCTCTCACTGATCAACCAAGTGGAGACCCAGCTCCTCACCACCCACTGGGCACCAAGTCTCATGAGTCCTACCTCGTGCACTGGCCTGGCTGATGACCCCTCTCCTGGCCACCTACTTCTACCACTGCCTGGAAGCCTTTGTCTAAGTGACCACTAGCTTCCTATGGTCCCCACAGGCTCTAGACTCTCCCTCACATCCACCCGCCCCGCATGGAGCCTTTAGTATATGTGCTGCCGAAACAAGCACCCCAGTGAAGCCTTTAGGCCAGTTTATCTGAAGCTCTCTCTGCCCTCTTACTATCCAGGACCCTAGAGGTTTTATTTGTGTGGCTGTGTATCAGCAGTCACTGTGTTAAAGCCAAGAGATTTTTAAAACATGAGATGAAGCAGGTATATCATCCTGCAGCCCGCATTTAATTCCCCTGTCACTTTTGAGGAGTGGGATTGAAGGTGCATGTAGGTCCTGTGTAGATCAGAAAGTTTTGAAGTCGTGAGGGGTCCAGACCACACCTAGGAGGAACTGTGTTCTGTGACAGAACCTAGGGGCCAGTCATGGTACGTGTGCCTGTACTTGTCCTTTATCCCTGACATGAGTTGAGTTTCCAGGTCCCAGAGCACCCTGTAAAGTGACTAAGCTCTTATGCCCTGGAACTCCACTGAGGGCCAAAAAGTTGAAAGAGTTTCCCTGAGCCACCGAAGGAGAACTGAAACATTTGCAACTTACCATCAGGCATCCCCTGGGGCGTTCCAGACACAGGCCCCTTAGATCTGAGATTGATAGTCCCTGTGTAGCTAGTCAGGACCCTCTTTCTTTATATGAAATGGAGTCTCTGTCTCACCTCCAAACATGTCAGCTGATTGGAGAAGGAGGGACAATTACAGACAGACACAAAGAGGGTCAGCTGCTAAAGAAGACAGAACTGTGAGAACCCTTCTGCCCTCTACAACTAGAGTGCTGGGTTTGCTTAGATGTGGTGGAGTCCTGGATGTTGGATGCTCCCCCCACCCCACCCTCACAGGCCCTGTTGCTATGGGTGGACTGTGTGCCCTCAGCTTCCCCATCTGAGTAGCGGTAATCATGATGGACGCCTAAGTCATGACAGGAGGAGCGTGACAGTGTCTCGTTGGTCTTTGCTAAGGTAGGTCATGACCAAGTGAGCGGCCCTCCACGAACTCAGAGGGTGGACAAGTTCTGTGACTGTTTACAAACGGAGAAATACAAAGTTTGGGAAAGATTCCTAACAAGTGATAAGAAATAGAGTGCAGAGAACTTTGAAGAGGACAGGACCTTGATCATGAGAAAGTGGTAGTATCAGAGCATGTTGCTCCCTGAGGGTCTGGAAGAGCCGCCATCCCTCCAGATCACCAGAGCAGGTATGACGATGGATAGTCCCAGTGGGTACAGCCTTCTGCTGGGCTGGAACCAGCCTGAGGTCAGGCCAAGAACATTTTATGAAGGGTGACATCCTAGTAGAATTTTTAATATATTAAAGGTTACCTCTACACCAAATTAGTAAGACCCTGAGTTCAGATGAGAAATCTAAGCTTGGCCATTGCAGGAGTCCTGCTGACAGAAAGCTTGAGGGCAGAGACCTTCAGAGGCCCAGAGTGGACACTGGATCTGGCAGTCAAACCTGTGGGGTTATCGTTGCAGTGCCATGGTGTGTGTTTGCCAAGTGCGGCCCTTGAGTGTCCAGAGAGCTTTGAGGGTGGTACACTGGTCTCCTGGGTGTAAGGGTGAGCCTAGTCGCTGGGGCTCTGCAAGTGCCTAAGGCTGAGTACAAGGCCCAGGGGCGGAACCCTGGTAGTCTGTGGACTCTACAAATGAAATGGAACAGAGGCCACATTTACCAGAAATTGCTCATTAATTTTCATCTAAAAGTCTTCGTAGTCCCATCATTCCTACTCTGATATAATTTCATTTGCAATCAGGAGATGCCATGACTAGGTTTGCAGGCCCAGGGGCCTGACTGACTGCCTCCCCTCCCTGATGTTCCTGTCCCATGGGCAGCATTGGAGACACAGGGCTGTGGTCAGTCTCATTGGTTGCTCCTTTTTCACCTCTTAGAGCCCTTGGATATGCAGTCGTGTCCGACCCAGACCCCTGATCCCTTTACATTTCATGCTTCTTCTTGTGCTTTTATTTTCTTTCTTTTTGTGGGGGGGGGCAGGTGCAGGCTAGACCCAGGCCCTCACACATACTAGGCAAGTGGTCCACCATGGAGCTGCATCCCAGTCCCTCTTGAATTTTAACTTTAGAAAAGCCAGCCTCCATTTTCTTTTTGGGAGTGTCAGGAAGATGTCAGTATGCGCCTTCCTCTCTCATCTCCTTCCCAGCTCCACTCCCCAGTCACTCTCTTCCGACCATCTTATTTTGTGTCTTCATTTTTGTTTGATTTTCTGTGAGCCCCCTTCTAAACACCAAATATTTGTAAGGTGTGAGAGACAGGGAGCCAAAAACGGAGGGTCAGTCCTTCCATCAGTGCCTGGATCTTTTCTTGTGACAGGGTTTGACTGGAACCTCGTGTTCAAATGGGATTACATGACACCAGAGCAGAGGAGGTCACGGCAAGGGAACCCGGTAGCCCCCATCAAGTAAGTACCAGCTGCAGGTAAGCATGGGCCTTTGGGCCTGAAGAGCTGAGGGGTGCACCCACTCTTCCATGCTCTTCCTCACCAAGCTCCAAGCTGGAGCTGCCACCAGATGGTCAAACCCTTGAGTCTCCTCAGGAAGCCTAGCAGATTCTGAGGCAGACCTGCCAGTGTGTTCTCTCACATTCACGAGTGTTGTGCTCTGCAGCAGAGCAGAGCTTCCAGCCATCTCAGGAACCTGGGCCAGGGGGAGGGGCTACAGCCTAAAGCGTTTGTTTATTTTTGGCAATCATTCTAACTACCCTGTAAGGAAAGTGAGGCACTAAAGGCCAAGTACCTTGCCAAGAACAGCTTCTCAGTGAGGGGTCCCAGCCGCACGATTAGTCCCTTGTGTGGTAGGTCTAGACACCCCAGGCACTTGGGAGTTATCCGGGCCAGGACTGGGGAAGCTTTGGAGGCAACAGGGTGAGCTGGGGACATTCAGGATGTTCTCTTCTCTCTTCCACTAACCCAGGCTTGTCCATGGCAGAAGAGAGCTGTCCATGTGACCCTGACCTCTGCCTCCTCCTCTTTGCCTCCCCAGAACCCCCATGATTGCTGGTGGGCTGTTCGTGATGGACAAGCTCTACTTTGAAGAGCTGGGGAAGTACGACATGATGATGGATGTGTGGGGAGGAGAGAACCTGGGTATGTACAGCCTTGCACCTCTGTCCTAACTATCTTCGTTGTGGTGATGTTTGTGGAAGGCATGTGTCAGTTTGTTGGGAAGCATTTGAGAAGCTGTGACATAGCCAGGCTTGATGGTGCATGCCTATATCCCAGCACTCTGGGAGGCTGAGGCAGGAGAATTGCAAGTTGGATCCCAGCTTGGGCAGTTTAGCAACTTTAGTGAGACCGTCAAAATTAAAAAAATTAAAAAGCATTGGGTATGTAGCTTTAGTACAAAGGCCTTGGCTTCGATCCCAAATACCCCCCAAACAGTGGTGCCGCCATTTGGGGCAGAAGCAGCCCCTGTACCAATGTGCCCAGTACCCTCTCTCTTTTAAAAGTGACTTCGGTTGCCATTGCATCAAAATTGGAGGCCAGAGCCCAAGCAGCCCTCCAGCGTAGACATGCATTCTGTCCTGTCGCTAGGGCTGTGGCTTCAGATCACATGCTTCCAAAATTGTGGACCAGCTCGGCATAAGGGCTCCCACTAGCTGTGTGGAGTGGAGATGAGGCCTACAGCTCATGCTGTTGGTCTGATGGTTATCCGGGGACTTCCCCCACCCCCCAGGCTGGCCTGAGCCTTCCATCTCTTCTCGATGACTTCTGTGAATGGTTTTGTCTGGCTTCATTTTCTTTAAATAACCCGTGAAAGTCATCTTCACCCAGGTTTAGGGGCAGTAAGATTTTACGGGCTGTGCTCTGTATTTGTAGGCACCTCATGGTTTCTGCATGAAAGATAAAGTGACTCTCAGGTGCTAATGTTGTTTGTGGTCCTGTCCATGTCCCGTCTGGTGTCCTTCCCCTTTTTCTGCACTTGAAACCTGTACTTTCCAGGGCTCGGAGCTCAAAACCATCTCTCCTTGGCCACTAAATGTTAAGATTCTTTTGTCCTTGGGTGGATGTGCCAGGGAAGGAAAGGGTAGGAAATTACTGTGGTTTGTTGCTTTTACTTATAACAGAGACTTTGGAAGTTTCTGTTAGTTTGAAAGACTAGCCTGGCCTGTCACTTCTCCATCGTGTTTGATGTTGCAGTCTGTGAGGACATCTCTCTGGATCCCTCTGCCCTGGTTTGATGTTGAAAGCTGCTTTTGCTCAGTGTGCACAGCAGGGAGGGGGCATGAATCCATCTCCTGCAGGGAGCGGTTCTAAAGACTCACTGACCTCAGGTAGGGCTTAGACCAGAGCATGTGGGCACAAGAGGCTTTGGAGAGGCTTCAGGATGGTTAACTTTCCAAAGGGAACCCAAGTCCCTGAGACTCAGCAGCCACTTCCCAGGGTCCCTTGTGACTGGAGACGTGAATGTTGTCAGGAGAGCCTGGGTCATGGATGGGGTGTCAGGTGGCAACTACGTCTCAAGTATGGAGGATCAATTCATGCGCCCAGAGCCCAGAGGTGGGCAGAGCTTGTTTGAACGAGCTGGATGGCTGTGTTTTGGTTTGTGCATTTATGTGCTAGCTAAGGGCCTGCAGCGGTATGGGAATCTTCCCTTCCCTGACTGCTCCTTCCAGGGCTCTTGGCACAGGCTGAGTAGCACAGGGTTCAGGTAGAAAGTCTGGGATGTGAGCCTTGCTTTCTCCAGCTTCTGCTGCTTCCTCTGTGTGCTGAGACTGTTCACCTATGGCTCTTTGGGTTTGTGCTGGAGAGGCAGATGTGGGAAGCCTGACAAAGATCCAAACCACTCCCTGATGCTGCCAGCTGGAATGTGGAGAGCATCCTGCTTCCCTGACCAATATTGTACATCCTTATGTCATTAAAGAATAGGCAAAGAGGACAAACATCCTGGTCTTCCACCCTGAGACGGTGGTGAGGCTTGTTGGGGACAGTGTGTCCCAGTGAACAGTCTCCTTACAGTAGTGTAAGGAGAGGTATTCTGGCTTCCAGTGCCGCCAGCTCTGCATATGTCCCCAGAGGCGAGGTCTACATAGGTCTCAAGCCGTGAGCAGGGCCAGGAGTAACACGGAGTAGTGTCCTTGAGGGTAGAACTTGAGTGAGGTCAGAGTTGAAGGTCACCACAGTGTGCTGAGTCTAGACACTCTCTCCAGCCTCCCAGTGGCCCCTGCTGGCTGAGTTCTCCCCACACAGGGGCCCAAGTTTGCAGCTGGCAACAGGGAAACATACTGAAATTGTAATTCCTGAAATGCAGAGAACATTTTACTCAGCATTTAGTTGAACACTGTAAATAAAGTGCAAAACCTTTCACTGCATTTGGTTGGATGGTATCGACTTCTCATTCTGAATCCCTGCAAGGGGCCCACCCAGGGCACCCTTCCTTGGGAGTGAGGTTGTCCCTGTGTCCTTGGCTTCCCATCCACGGTAGGAATGAGGTCTGTTCTGAGTGGTGTTTCAGCCCCTGCCATGGGTGCATGTCCAGAGCATTTTGCTGGCCACTCACCTGTGGTCATGGAGGTCCCACCTCATTCTGATCCATTTGTGCTGGCAGGGTTGCTGCCTCTGTAGATTCTTACCCCTGCGTGTTCTGAGGGGTCTCAGCCGATATAGAAGGACATGCCTTTTGCACGGCCTCTGGCAACTTTCAGAAATAGTGCTTGGCCTCTCAGAACAGTATGTCTTGATTTCTGTGTTTGGCCTCAGTTTCTTTTATTCAGAATAGGTGGTGGTTAGAACAGGCACCTGACTGAAGGTCCTTTGTCCAGAAGGGACAGTGTGTGCTTGGGTCAGCACAGGTGGTGCCTGGTCTGCATGCGAGTTACCCCATAGGGAAGTCTGTGTTGATGCAGGTGAAAGTGGCTTCCTTAGAGGATCCTGCCAGGGCCAGAAGGTTGCTGCCTAATGAGAATCTATGTCACCGTAGTCTATAAGGTACCTGTAGATGTTACCAGTGGCCCATGGATGCAATTTAAGGGATAGGGTCATTTTCCCCAAATGGAGAAGCTCAGACATATCCTAGTACTCAGTCAGTTTGAAGTGAGTTTAGAGGAAGGTGACACCTGTGGCTGCCTGCTACGTCCAACATTAAAGCTTAACATTCACATATCCTCACTGTTGCCTTCCTGGCAGTGTCTGTGCTGAGGGGGGCACAAGCCAGCCACAGATGTCCCTGGGATGCACATAGTCCAGTAGTCAGAGTGCACTGAATCCAGATCCAAAGAGTGTTTCCCTGCTGCACACTGGTCATGCTGTGGTATCTCACCACACAGGTGTGTGGAGCTCTACAGAGAGCCCTGAGCCACATTCTGGAGGGAGCAGCTCTGTGGGGCTCCTATAGCAGTTGGGGAGGGGCACCTGCATCATGGGGACTGATGTGGGAACACCCACCAGCCCCACCAGACACCAAGTCTCGTCCCCATTTAGAGATCTCCTTCCGAGTGTGGCAGTGTGGTGGCAGCCTGGAGATCATCCCATGTAGCCGTGTGGGACATGTATTCCGGAAGCAGCACCCCTACACCTTCCCAGGTGGCAGCGGCACTGTCTTTGCCCGGTGAGTACTGAGTGGCTGACAGGGCCACAGCCCCACCAACTGCTCTGGTAACAGGTGTCACGCTGAGCTGCGCGGGGACAAGCATCCTCTGACAGGTGTGGTATTGTCAGCAGTGAGGAGCAGCAGATGGCTGGCACACACAGTAGGTGAAATGCAGGGAAAAGAAGCTGCCTTTGCGTGCTCCATGGTGTCTTGCAAAAACAGTGCCAATGGGGGTACAGATGGGGCTGTTGCTGACCAGGGCAGCTAGGATTGGAGGGATGGCCTGGGGTAGGGGTGGCAGCCCAAAGGCAGCACCAGAGCATCTGGGGATGGACTAATCTCTCTTCAGAGTGCAGTGATAGTTGTGAAAACCTAAATATGTATGAATGTGGCCCCTAAAAGGTGATATGGACAAATATTTTGAAGAATAAAACTTACTGTGCATTACCATTCAAGGTACAGTTAACCATATTGTCTGTTGTGTGCTTCTGTAACAGAATACCACAGACTAAGTACCTCACGGTAAACAACTTACCAGCGGATTCTCATCATGTGGTAAAAGGACTAAAAGAGGGTGAAGGCACACTTAAAGGGCTGCTGTTCCACCTGCAAAGGGGACCCCAGCCCTGGTAGCCTGATCACATCTTATACTGTCACAGTGACAAATTTCAGTATGCGTTTAGGAGGGGCATTCAAACCACAGGGCATATTATAGTCAAAAGAACATCACAGTATGTAGATGTGATTCATAGTTGATGAAAGATATATTTTAGAAAACACAATGATGCCAGATGAAGGGCTTTTAAAAAAAATAGCAAATCACCATTTTGTCAGACCACGTTTTCCTGAGAATTCTCTCAAATACTAAAGATAAAAGTGTGTGAGTTGCACTTCAGGGTCCCCTTTTGATGTGCTTTTTCATGAGAGTAGTCAGCAGAATACACAACTAAATAAGATCATTTCAAATACTGTCCTAATCAGTGCAGACAAGAAGATAAAATGTGGCTGAGCATGACTAGGACAGGCAGAAGGGGGGGCTGCAGGTGGAGAGCACATGGAGGTGAGAGGGGAGAGGGTACCCTTGGAACCTGGGGAACTGGCCCCCTGCACAAGGACAGGCTGCTGAGAAGGGATGTGTAGGCACATGTGAGAGCTGGAAGGACAAAGGGCAGCCAGCACCTAGAGGAGAAGAGGATGGTGCACAGAGGCAGCAAGGCTCGACAAGCCAGGCCATGCACCCTGCAGGTCACCACGACCTGTGTCCCTCCTAGATGCCGGGGGAAGCCACTGGGCTTGTAAGCAGGAACCTGACTTCTGTCTTAGCTTTGGAAAGTTGCTTCTGGCCAAGGGGCAGAGGGTGGCAGAAAGGTGATGTCATGTGATGGTGCTGATGTCCCCACCCAGTCACTCTTTGGGTACCTGAGCAGGTATGCACCCAGGAGATAGGTCCCACCCTGCTCCCTCTGAGGCAGGCAGGCATTCCAGCAGTTGAGGTGACGCCGTGCATATCCCACTGCTGTGATGACGGCACCCACTGAAGAGGGAAGCATGGGATCACTAACGGACACATGCTAAGCAGAGGTTGAAGTTTTAACATGCAGTCTGTTTCTGGGGGAACTTTAATAGAAGCCAACATGATAGACTATGCCTGTGACCACTTACCTTGCTCAAAACGTGTCTTTTCGTGAGTGTTGTCTCTGCTTCACCTTTGCTCTATTAAAAATGAAAACACAGTCTTATACAGTGCGCTTTACAAAATCAAACATTAATATGTACCTTTTCCCCTGGAGCAACATGAAATTCTTCCCAGAAACCTCTAGTGTAGACATATCAGATACCCCAAATCAAAGCCACTGATACTGACCAGCCAACATTGGGGTTTTGGAAAACAGTATGTGGAAATTCTCAAGCTGTCACTTTGTACACTTTTTTTAAAAGTTACTCTTGGGCTGGGCATGGTGGCACACACCTGTAATCCCAGCTTCTTGGGAGGCTGAGCCAGGAGGATTTATGAGTTCAAAGCCAGCCTGGGCCACTTAGTGGGATCTGGTCTCAGAATTTTAAAAAAGGCTGGGGATGTAGCTCAGTGGTAGAACATCCCTAGGATTAATCCCTAGTAAGGGGTAGGTAGGAGAGCACTCTGTTCAGAAGACAAGCTTTTGAATTATATGTCACCACCTGGGCCGATTTCAGCAAGGCTGCCATCCCTCTTGGCAGACAAATCTGAGAGAGGAAGTGGTGGAGTTTTATGTGGCTAAGGTCCCTTCCAGCTCCTCTTAATTTCCTGGCATTGGATGCATGAGTATATCACTCTGTAAATGCTTGCCAATCAAGGAGGGTGTGGACAAAAGGGGCCTTTCTCTCTGGACACTCCTGGATCCCTGAGGTGTGGTAGGTACCAGTGAGTATCCGAATGGATGGATGAGTTGGATGAAAGGAAGTAAGGAACCACTAGAGTCACCCTGTTTTAGTTACTTTGTCATTGAGACAAAATACTTGACACCCACAGCTTAAAGGAGGAAAAGTTTATTTTGGCTTACATTTTCAGAAATTTCAGTCCTTGCATAATCGGCAGTATGACAGAAGGGCCATCATGGAGGCGACTGCTCACAGAGAACAGGGAGGAGCTATAGAGGGGAACCAAACATTTCTGGTCATGCTCCTTGTGACCTGCCACTTCCGACCAGTGGCCCCTCACCTTCCAGCAATACACTCAGCTACTGCAGTCATCAGGAGATGAATCCACAGATGAGTACAGTGCCCCTGTGATTAGTCATCTTCCAGAAGCCCTACTCTGAGCACATGAGGCTTTGAGGGGACACTCTTGATCTAAATCATAACACGCCTTGAGACACATTTGAGGGTCCCCATATATCCCTTTCTATAAGCAGATATAAGGACTTATGGGATTTAAACACTGTGATTGGAGTTTATAAATCCTTTAAGCTATTAGAGCTGAAAGGAGCCAGGACACCCTTGAATAAGACCCTCCTATGTACTGGCGGGGGTTCGGTGTCAGGGCTGGAGTCATGGCCTGGTTACATGCCACCTGGGCAGAGTTGGGGCTGAGTTGAGGCAGAAATCATCTAGCAAGGCCACAAGTCCCACTGTGAGTAGTTGGCAGCTGTCTGAGGAATGGCACTCGAGGCACAGTGTTCCCCAGCACTGAGTACTCATTGTTCTGTGAGAGAGAGTAAAAACCCATCCATCTTATTACCGAACAGGACTGAACCCTGCTCTCATACATTGCTGGGTCAGGCTCTCCTGCTCTCCTCTCCCTGCACACATCCACCGTGAGCTATGGCGATCAATCTCGTCTTCACCACCAAGTCCACGTGACATTGAGCCGACACCTTGTCCCATGCATCCTGGATTTCCAGTGTTCACAGGAGTTCTCGTTCATCTCATCATGTTGCTGAGTTTGGTTCTACAGTTTCTAGGGGGGGTTTTTTGTCATTATAAACAGTGCTGAAGTTAGCATATTTTCATGTATGTATTTTCATTCCTGGTTATTTCTTATAGGTAAATTTCCAAAAGTAGAACCCTTATTCAAGGTGGGCAGCCCTGGTATTGCCTTATATGCCTCTTAATAGTGCGCCTGTGGTGCCACGTCCCCTTCATTCAGAGCAGATGGACAGGTACATCACCCTGGGTGAAAGACAAGGGCCCCACCTGGAAATTCTTCTTGTAATCATAGCTCGGGAATTTGAAGGACTTACTATGAAATTTTCCTGGTAGAGAAAAGGAATTATTTTAAAGGTAGCTTTGCCTCTCACCTGTATTTGTAGTGGAAGAACAGGATGCAAATCACCGGTGCCCAGTGAGGACTGCTGTGTCCCTGGCTGGAGTCACGGCCTGGTGAGCCACTTCCCTTGGCTCAGGTCTGCGGGGAAAGAAGAGATTCTTGAGTCACTGAGGCGCAAATCACAGGGCTGTGGACACAGCAACCTCCTTGCTGTGATCTCTGGCCCTGCACTCTTTTTTTTTTCTTTTGGTACCGGGGATCGAAATTGGGACCTTGTGCTTGCAAGGCAGGTGCCGGAACCCCTGAGCTAAATCTCCAGCTGGCCCTACACTCTTGAGCATACAGCACATTACTTCATAGTGGCTGTTATCCCTCTCAAGGTCTGGCCCAGGCCCTTTATAGCTCCCCCTGTACTGTCATTCCGCCTCACCTTTTGCTCTCTGATGATCTTGTGGTGGACACCAGAGCAGCTCTGTGGGCCCCAGACCCACGGGCCCACAGAAATTTCAGTCCTTGCATAATCGGCAGTATGATAGAAGGGCCTGCATGGAGGAAAGACTGCTCGCAGAGAACAGGGAGGAGCTATAGAGGGAAACCAAACAACCTGCCACCCCTGGCTGCACTGCAGCAGACAAACACAATTAGAGGGGTGCTTCAGAAGGGGAGAATCACACCTTAGGAGGGTTTTGCTCTGTTTCTAGCAACACCCGCCGGGCAGCAGAGGTCTGGATGGATGAATATAAGAACTTCTATTATGCAGCAGTGCCTTCCGCTAGAAATGTTCCATATGGGAAGTAAGTGTGTTCAGCTTTCTCCTCAAGCTTCCTGGAGAGCAGAGTGGGGGGAGAGGGTGGGGATGGTCACCCAGTTGACAACAGGACCTTCTGCTTAGGGCCGGGTGTGGGTGGCAGGGTTGCAATCAACAAGGCCTGCATAGACTGAGCTACTCCCCCTGCCAACCCACTGCCGTGGCAGATGTTCATGGTTGACGCAGGCTTGTGTCCTTGCTTGATATGTTTCCTCTCCTCAGCATTCAGAGCAGACTGGAGCTCAGGAAGCGGCTTGGCTGCCAGCCCTTCCAGTGGTACCTGGAGAATGTCTACCCGGAGTTGAGGTGAGTCCCAGGACCTGCAGCTTTGCCTGAAGGCCTCAGAGGCCTTGATGGTAGTCAGACATAAGGCCAGAGCCAGGGCTATGAGGGAGAGTGGGGTCCCTTACCCCACTTCTGTCTCCAGGACTCCTAGGGGCAAGTCTTGCTTGTGGCCTCCCTTGTTCCCATGAGGTGACACCCCAACTCTGCACAGACCTGAGAGCCATCATGACACAGCACCTTGTTTTGGCTTGTTCCCCTCTGGTAGAAGAGCCCAGGTGTCTGTGAGTGGTCCCTGATATCCCCTGCAGGGTTGCATCTGCTCACCTGTGACTGTAAAGAGACAGAGGGCCATGCTGGCTGGGAGAGGTGGGGAGGAAGGAAATGCTATTGTTCCTCCCTCGGGCTGCCCCTGGCCTGCCTTCCTCCTGCAGACCACGTTTGCCTCATGAAATGCTGGGGCTCTGCCTCCCCCTGAGGGTTCATGGTGCAGAAGCCTCTTCTGAGCCTCGTTTGTCCACCTAGCTTCCTGTCCAAGCTGTTACAAGCTGTGTCCTTAGGGGCACTGACAATGCTGCAGGAGACCAGGGCCCCTCTCAACTTCATCTTACCAAAGGGCTGTCAGACGAGTGTTGCCTCGGTAGGCCATATTCATCCAAATTCCCAGAGCATTTTACAGCAGCCTGCACACCTCTGCACAGGGACTGGGAACATGAGTACAGCCACCGTTATCTTTCTGCTGACGGTTGCCTTAGAGCCTTGTCATGGGGACTTGTGCGTAAGTCAATGATGAGGTCACTGTGTCTGCTGTCCCTGGCATGGCTCTTCAGAGCTGTTTCCTCAGCTTTTAAGGTGGTAGAAGAGACAGCAGGCAGTCTGATGTCCTCCACCGAGGACAACTTGCCCAGGGTTAGGCACAGTGGTGGTCAGCAGGGCAGACCTCTGTTACCATCTGCCTCCCCATGGAGGGGCCTTGGCCAGTGATATCAGTCCCACAATTCCAGAAGCCACTTGTTCTTCCTGTCACACTCGCCTGTGACTTGGTGGGTGACGATGCCAGACAGAATGATAATGTAGTTTTTCACTGAGGTCACCCACAATTTGGGGTGGCACTGGCCCTGCTAGCAGGCGAGGGAGGCACCAGCTCTTGTGACTATGACAGTTGCCACCATTTGCCAAGCACTTCCTGTGGGCAGGCGTACGGTGAGGGCCTTCCCTGAGCTGTTTATGTAACAGCCTGTTCGGTTGGTTTCAGACAGGAGAGCACATTGAGGTTTAGAGTGATCCTCACCTGAGCAGCCGCACAGCCATTGAGTGCAGATGGGGCTGAAATCCGCTGTCCTTCCAGAGAACGTGGCTCTGTCTGCCTTGGGCCACCTGCAGGTCCACTTGCACTAGGTGGAGGGCCAGGGGGATACCATGTTGACTGGTTTTCTAAGTGACTGGCCAGCACTGCTGTCAGCTGTTCCTTCCCAGAGAGCCTTCCTTGACGTAGAAATCACAAGAGAACTCCCACTCACATCTTACAGTGTTAGGAACACAGAGGCTGGAGCCCTGCCATGTTGGGACATGGGGCCTGGTAACCGATCTTCCTCTTGTCCTCACTGCCACAGTGAGGTTGCTGAGCAGGAGCTCCAGGTGGCTGGTACACCTCAGAGTTAACCATTGGTCTCCATTGCCTTCCAGGGTTCCTGACCATCAAGACATAGCTTTTGGGGCCTTGCAGCAAGGAACCAACTGCCTTGATACATTGGGACACTTTGCTGATGGTGTTGTTGGAATTTACGAGTGTCACAATGCTGGGGGAAACCAGGTAGGTATTTGGATGGGTGTGCACCTGCAGGCCTAGAGGGTACAGGACAGGCCATAGGGTAACAGCTATGGTTGTTGCCTTCCTCCTGAAAGAGGGCCTGGCCCCTGATGGTCACAGCTTCTTTGGAGCCTCAGGGACAGCTGGGACTCTGGACCTGGACTAACTCCTGGGGCTGCTCCTTAGCCTCAGGCTGGGCTCTGTGCAGTGGCCAGACACAGTCCAGGCAGGGCTGTGGAGCTGGTGGCCTCCATCCTTTTCTCTGCTGGCTTTGACCACCTGCTGTGTGCTCATTGCCACAAAGCACCCCTTCTGCATTTGCAGCCGTGTCTTTCCTTGAATGTGGTGTAGACACCTGTGTCCCTGCATAGGAGTCCTGGGTTCCAGGCACCATGGTTGCCACTATAGCTATTGTCCCCATTAGATGGTGATCGCTTGAGTGATAAGGTAAGAGCCATTGATTGCCTCAGCTTGACACACACCGCTCCCCAGAGGCATAAGAACCCTGACCCTCTCCCCTTGGTGGAGAAGGCAGACACATGAAGTCTTTGGGGGCCCAGTGTGGCCTGGGAGTTCCAGAGGCCAGGAACACAGGCTCCCGTGCACGGGAAGGCCCGGGCAGTGCAGTGTGCTCTAACCCCCTTCCAGAAACCTTGCCTGACTCTGAGGGCCTGCAGCTGTAGAACAGGGCAGTTAACACGTGAATGGATCCCAGATTTGTTGATCTCAGACATTACTTTGTGTGAAACTGGCTGATCCAAACCGTCCCAGTGAGTGTGGGGACGTCACGGTCCCCAGGTGCTCCTGCCCCTTTCTGTACATTGTGGAGCAGTTTGCTGTGGTTGTGTAGAGTGGCCTGGGCACACTGAGTGACGCAAGGGGCAGGTCTGCAGGGCTTGGCTGGGCCCATTGCAGCCCTCAGTGCAGGTGTCGGGCCTGGTCCTGCTTCTCCCCAGCACACGTGTGCCATCACCAGGCCCTGTCTAACCCAAGTTTCCATCCCTGGTCCTGAGGATGCGCCCTGGAACAGGCTCCTGGCTTTGGCTGTGGCTCGGTTCACGTTTCCCATGTGTGGCCCTGTGGCATGGGAGTTTCCATCTGAACTCTCAGGAGTGTCCTAGAGGAAGAAGGTGCTGTGCCCCGTGGTGTCACTGTGTCTGGGTGTTGTGGTCTTCGCTGACTGCTTCTAAGGACCTGGAGGCCACCAGAGCCTTTCATGATTGGTAGTGGTATCAGGCCCCAGCCAGGTGTGGTTGTTCTTGTGATATGTTTGCCTGGCTCTACTCGCTTTATAGGAATCATCAGTACATTTGGACCTCACAATTGGTGTGGGGAAGCACTGGGCACAGGGACAGGTGTGTTAGTTGTTTTTACGAAGCTATTAAGGAACACAGAGAAGCAAAGCAATCTGGACTCTTCAGGAAGCTGAGAATACCTTTGAAGAACCAGCGTCTGGTTTGTTTGTGTGGCATTAGTTCAGATCTCCCCACACGCAGGGTGTGGATGTGATGTTGGATGGGGCTGAATGACACTCGGCCTTGGACTGTGATTATAAAGCAGAGGTGCCAGCATGTGCTGCCAGGTTCAGACTCTTCCTTGTTCCTGTTGGCCTTGCCTCTGTGCCTGGTGCTGAGTTCCCACGGTGGCATTGACAGAATCTGACAATCAGTGGTCGGGCCCCATGTCAGGAGCTCTGCTAGGGTGTGACAGGCCTTACCCTGCCAGTGTCTCACCCCCACTCTGCCCTGTGCTCTCCAGTGGGCTCATACTGTTCACCCCAGCTTCCCACACAGGCAGAGTCCTGCCGGAGCTGCAGGTAGACAGGAGGCAGAGATGTTGCTTGCATTTCATTGCCTGTGGCCACCCCTCGCCTGCTCTGTCTGCTGGGTGCCTTCTGGGCAGCTGTGTCAGAAGGGGTCCGCACATCCCCACCCACCCAGCACAGTGCCAGTGTGTACTGCTGCCCAGGACTCGATTTCTGATGGCCCGCCTCAGTGTCGAGGGTGCATTGGCTTGGACAAAACCACTGTCACCCTATTCACAGGTACAGGAGCCCACTGGTGACATGCTGCTCTCTCTTTATGGACAGACTGTGAGAGGCCACCAGAGCAGCTGCCCCCAACTGTGTGCTCTGGAGCATGAGTAGTGGCCACAGCCCAGACCTTGCCTGACAGGTGACATCACATGAGTGCCAGGGGTCAGCTCAGGGATGTCCCTGGGACAGTCCAGTGGGACCCACAGAGCACGCCCTCCGCACTGGCAGTCACCTTCCTTCTTGCTGCTGTGTGAGTGTTGCCCCTCAGCCGGCACCTCTCCTCTCACCTCAGCAGGTGTGCACTGACATTTGCTCGCCATCCAGGGCCTCGTGCCCTACTCAGACTCAGTGCTCCAGGGCCACACACAGGAATCTCCTAGTGAGCTTTGACAAACACCAGTGCCAGCGGCCCTGTGCCCAGAAAGTCAGGGGGCACTCACCCACAGTCGGGAGACGTCAATCCTGGGGCACCTGACTGATGCCAAGCAGCAATGCAGTGCAGGGGTTGGACACGTGGGTGGTGGGTGAGGCAGTGAGGTGACACAGCACCCTGTCCCCCTGGGCTGGGGATGCCTTGGTCCCTGGCCCACCTGTGTCATTCCATGTGGTCTCCTGGGTGCTATCCAGGTCTGATCTGCACTTCCCCTGTGCCACCAGCTGGCTCCATGTGGACGGAGGCTCTTCAGATGTGACTGGTGTGAGCTAGGTTTTCAGTTTTATTTAATCTTAATGGATTTAAGTATAAACAGCCACTTGTGGTTGGTGGCCAGCGTGTGAGTGCATGGAGGTGACCGAAGCTAAAGGTGACACTTGCTGGTGCCCAGTGTCCCACTCCTAGATGCACCACAGTTGGCTCTCTCTGAACTGGTGGAAAGTGGCACGTTTTGGGTAGTAACACCCAGCAGATATGAAACACAGGGTCTGGTATCTGGTCTTCCGCTCAGCCTCAGCAGCACAGGGCAGTAAAAAGATAATGGTCATGCTTCTTAAAGGTGGCCGCTCAGAAAAGCATTTTTCAGATGTGTGGCTATTTTACAGATTCAGTGCACTGAGGGACAGCACCAAGTAATGGCTCTGGTTTGCTGTGTTGGTGCCTCTGGACTTCATTGTCAAGTCTGCCTTAGAAGACTTTGCTGGCCACAGACATTGGCATCTCCTGACGCCGCAGCAGGGACAGTTAACCCTGTGGGTGCTGCCATCCCCGTGACTCCCCTGACTACAAGTGGGCACTTCTGCGTGTCTTGGTTTGCACTTAGAGTAAGGGTGTCAGGCTCATCCTCCTGAACCACTGGGAGCCACCAGTGTGCAGGAACCACTGTCCTCCTCCCTGCTGCATACTTCCCACGTAGCTTGGGCCAGATGAATCAGACAAGCAGTAATTCTACACTCAGGCAGTCTTGCCCCTGACACCACACTTGTGGGACCTCTCCCACCTAGCAGGGTTCTACTGCCCGGAATTAGCATACACACGAGCTGAGGGCTCAGTCCTGGCAGTCACCCCTCTTCAGATACCGGTCACAAGTCCAGGTTGTCCCCTGTGCTGTCAAGTGGGGGGTTCCTATGACACCCCCCTCCCCAATTCAGTCATTTTCAAGAACAGCTCATAGAAACAGTTGCTGGACTAGGTTAACTGTTCACTGTTAAAGGATACAGCTCAAACAGCCAGATGGAAGAGGCAAATAGGGCAGGCATGAGAGGGGTCCCCTGGGGGCTCCACCTTTAGCCCCTCCATGCATGCACCGAGACTGTACACCCTGAGGTTCAGTGATTGTCACTAACTTCATTGCCAGCCCCTCGCCTTCCCAGAGCGTGGGGCTGCCCTGAGTGTTCCAAGCAACTAATCCTGGCTGGTCTCTCGGTGACCGGCCCTGTCCAGGAGCTCACCAAGACAGAGACACTCCCATGTCACCAGGAAATTCCCAGGGGTTGGGGTGTGGCAGGAACTGGACTCAAAGACCAGATATCAAAAGGTGCTCCTTGCACCCTGTGCTCAGGGAGTTCTTACAAGGCTTTTGAGAGCTCTGTTCCCAGGGAGTAGGGTGGAAACCAAATGTATATTTTATTGTCACACTGTTCTAAAGCCCGGATGTGCTGAGCTGCAGCATTCCAGAGGCTAATGTGCCTCCCCAGTCAGCCCAGGGGGCTCCTCCCAGAGAAGGCCCTGCAAGGCTCTGCCCAGAGCTGGAGATGGGCTCCGGGGAAGGGCTTGCATAGGTGTGTTCGGGATGTGCCAGTGACTGGCCACACAGGTGTCTCCACTCTAGGAGTTTTTAGCACCCCTAAGACCATTTGTGCGTTCTCAAGGGAGAAGCATGGTGGGAGATCAGTGTTCCCAAATTTATTTGGCCTGGAACCAGTTTTTCATAAACTTGCTCACAGAGTAAAATTGAAGAAACACTAATTAAAAAGTGACAAAACTGAAGCTCAGGGAGGAAGGGGACTTGCCTTGTCTCCTTGCCAGGGGCGGCTGCCAGTGATTCCTGGTTGCCCCTGGCTGCCTCCACCCCAGCCTCTTCCACCCGCCTTCAGGACCAATGGGAGATGCTCCGCTCATCCTGAGGTGGCTGTGGGGTCTAAGCACCACAGGCTTTGGGGTTTTGGAGTCTTGCTGGTAGCAGATCATCTGTTCCTCCACAATTCAGGTTCTGAACCATGAGGCTTCTTCAGAAGCAATTCCCTTGCTTACCTCTGTCCCTGAGGATAGAACAAACTTCATGGCAAAGTGACAGTGTACTTGTGTCCCATCCTTTTCTAACTAGAAATCCTGGCACGTGCAGAGCTCCTCTGTTGCATGGAGTACAGTGGGGTCATTCAGATGGAAGGAGGGAAGGGCAAGGGGCCAGAGCAGCTGGGGTTCCCTGTGGGGCTCTGGGTTGGAAAAGGCCCCACTGCTGCGCAGATGGGTCAGGTCTTTGAGTGACCATGGGAAGCCCCACCCACCCACCCACCCACCCACATTGACTCTACCCTCTCCACCTTCGGTCATGTTGCCCCTTCTCTCCCTTCAGCCTCTGCCTCTACACATGGTTCTGCTCAGCATTCAGAGTGGTTCTTTCCACCATGTCTCAGCCCTTGATGCACATGCTTGCTCACTTACACATGTGTGCGTGTGTGTTGTTAAATGCGTGGACGAGAATGCTTAAACACTTTGTGGCTCGCTTTTCTTGTTCAGAAAATGAGAATAGTAAGAGCCCCTCGTGGATCATTTGCCTAAAATGCTTAAAGCAGTGCCTGGCACAGAGCAAGCACCAGATATAGCCCTACTGTGCAGTGTGCAGCTGCATACACGGTTCCTTGCCTATTTGGAGGGCTTGCGACTCTACGAAGAACAGCATAGCACTGCGGCAAGTCATTTATAATCTTCACAATTTGGTCTACATTCATAAGTCTGTTTCCAAACCATACCTGCCCAGGAGAACGATGCTGAAGCCCGTAGGGTGAAAAGTCAGCCCAACTGCCTACTTTGTGGGCAACAAAGCTGCTGCCATGGTTCCCGAGGCTCACGTGTCAATACAGAAGAACAACTGGGCACTCTAACTCAAGTTTGGGGCTAAAACATGATGTCACTTGTAATTCCAGCACTCAGGAGGTTGAGGCAGAGGATCGCCGTGAGTTCGAGGCCAGCATGAACTACATAGTGAGACCCTATCTCAAATACATACATACATACATGATGCGGTTAATCTTAGTTACTAAGTTTTGTGAGCCACTCTTGTGCTCTTGTTGGCCAATTCAGTGTTTAGTTGTAGATTTTAAGGCAGCGTCCCCTATTTGTAAGTTTGTCTCAGGCTGGAAGTAATTTGCTGGTTCTGAGTTAGTTTAGTGTTCAAGATCTCTCTCCCATCATGACCCATTTCCCTTTGGGACTGTCACCACTTCCACCTCTATTTCCCCCATGTGGCATGTTCTAACTGGGGTTCTGCATTCTAGGAGTGGGCCTTGACGAAGGAGAAGTCAGTGAAGCACATGGACTTGTGCCTTACAGTGGTGGACCGGGCACCTGGTGCCCTTGTCAAGCTGCAGGGCTGCCGGGAGAACGACAGCAGACAGGTGGGTGTGCCAGCCCCGTATGTCTTGGCGGGTGTGTGTATGAATTCCTGTCCAACCTGAGCCAGAGGTGTGACATAATTATATTCACACTCGCTTCCCCATGCCACACAGCATTTTAAAGAGAAATTACGTGTTTGTGTTTATCCATCAAATATTTTTCCTATTCAAATTTACAAAAAAAATTTTTTTTTGGTACCAGGGATCAAACTCGGGTCCTTGCACTTACGCAGTGGGCGGCGAAACCACTGAGCTAAATCCCCGGCCCCCAAAAATTTTTAACAATTAAGGCTCCAGTGGACATGACTCATACATGTACACACTCTTAACACGCAAGTGTGTAAAGACAGAATATACTTACGGTTCTGCTTAGGATGGTGTGAAAGCCATCCCCATCCACTAGAGACCATACTTGAATTTGGGCCTTTTCCAGGCTGGGGTTACATGGCATGATACTGTCTTGAGAGACTAGGCAGGGACAGCCCCAGCTCCCAGTCAGCCCTTTACCATGAGGGTGAGCCATGAGCCCTGCAGTGCCCTGTGTGCTGAGCTGAGACATCCAGTAGGTTGGGCGTATTAAATATGTTTTCATATCACACTACTTCTGACTTGCTGTGGTTTCTTGGGACACAGCTTTGCTGTAGTCCAAGAACATCTGTGCTGCCTTTTCTGTCAGTTCAGAGAGTGCCATGCTCCCCAGAAGATGGCTTTTGTCTGATATACCCACCATGAGAACTTGGAGGTATCCCCCTTCCTGGAGCCCTGGGCAACAGTGGCAGGAATAGAAATGTAAGCACCAAGAGACCATTCAGCATGCTCTGTGTAGAGTGCTGGCCCATCTTCCTGTGGTCCCTCCTCCTAGCTGAGGTGGAGAGAAACTGAGGCACGGAGCCTAATGCAACTAAAAACCTAGCAGGCTTCTAGTTCAACACTCATTCCACAGAAGGGGAATCTGGGGCCCAAAAAGCCAGCAGCTCATCCCCAGTATCAGCTGGGAGAACTGAGGCTGGGATTGGTCCCTGTTTAGGTCCCAGTGGTCAGGGAAGCACCTGCAAAGGGCCCTCTCCCATCCATCACCTCTGAATCCCTGTGCCCATCTCTGGGCGGCCTGTCCTTCTGCACAAGCTCAGCCTGTCTTGTCAGTGGGGAGCTGGTGTCCGGATTCTGCTTGCTATCTAAACAGTTGTCTGCATTGATGCAGCTTCTTGGCTTGAATGATGTCCCAGAGGAGTAGCTGTTGGACTGAAGACAGCCACCATCTCCTGCACCCAGACCCCCTAGAACCAGCCAGGCCAGCATCAGAGGGGCCAAGTGGTACCCACCCCTCCTTGAGCCCAAGCAGCATTTCCCCTACAATGGCAGACAGAAATGTCCTTTGATATAAAGTGACACTTTTGGCATCACTTGAATATTTGATAGGAATTCCTGCTCTAGTCTGAGTTTGTGGGAGCCGTAAGTAACCCCTTGAAAACTTTGTGAGATGGAAACTGCATAATTGGCCTTCCTGTATAGTGTGTGGGTCACAGGATCTCTTGGGTTGTACCCCAAGCCTCAGAATTAGGAATGTCCACATTACTGCATCCAGCAGACGTCAGCTAGTGGAGCCACCTTCCAGGACAGAGCTGGATTTTCTTAAAGACACTCCACTTAGTTGATACTCTATCTGAGGGCAGAGGTCAGAATCAGTTTCCATTTCTCCCAAATTCTTTGTTGACTTCCTCAGAGGACTTGGCAGCTTCATTGTCCCAAACATAAAAGGGGGGGGCGCCAGCAATGTGAAGGGACAGGTAGCAGTCAGGAGCTAGAAGGAATGAAAGGGCGGGCAGGTAGCAGGGACTCCAGGTGAGCAGGTGGGTGTAGAACAAAAGAGGTCTCATGCTTGGGGGTGGGGCTCACCCTGCTGCAGGAGACCTCAGTCCTTTGCCTCCAATGAGCAGCAGCTCAGCACTTCTTGTGGAGTGTGGTCTCACCCATAGAGATATTAAGTTTCCAGGCACGTCTGTGCCTTCATACTGTGTACGTTTACAGAGTCAAAGGGGAAAGGAGGTGAGAATGGGAAAATTAAATTCCACAATGTCAGGATTTGCCTAAATACTTATGCGAAGGAGCTTTGGTGCATATGGTGTAAAAACTTAATTAGAACCACACTGTCTCCTAATAAAGGGAGAGCTTTGGGGAGAAAAAAACGTGTTTTGTTTTTTTAAGAACAAACATTGGAGAGATCTTGAAATAGGGATATTTGCATTCCTTGCCAAACATGAACAAGGAGACCTCAGATTTCCTTGAGGCTGTCATAGGCTTTGTTTTCCCTGTGGCTGCTTGGTGGCCTTGTGTGAGCATTAGGAGCATTGTGATTATCCCCTGTGCTCTGCTAATGGTGCATTCAGCACTGGGCCAGCTTGGCTGTGCCATGCAGGTGCTTGGAAGCAGGCAGTAGTTCTCACAAGGCAGTTGCACATGGTGGAGGGGGTAGCAGCATGGGAGTTGGCCCCTTCCCAGCGGGTGCCTGTTCCCACAGCATCTCTCTCCTCTTGGGGACCTGACACCACTCTGGTTCTGCTGAGCCCAGAGCCCCATGTGGATACTGGCAGGTGCTACGAGGCCTCCAGGAGGGTGGCTCCCCACAGCTCGGGCTTCCCAGGGCCCCTGACAGCGGGGAGACATCACTGCCCCAGCCACCCCATATGCAGGCTCCTGTGTGTGAGTGCTCATGTTAATAACCTAGTAAGCAAGGGAGGTGCTGGACGTGGGGCCCTGTCAGGAAGGATGGGGTGTTAGAGTTCTGTGCCCAGAGAACCCGGATTTCTCTCCCACCCTGTGCACGCTAGGGCTGGTCTGCTGTGGCTCATGCTGAGCCCTGTCCTTGATGTCAGAGGCCGAGAGAGGGAAAGCGAGTTGGTCGGTTTGAGTGGAGCCAGGGGACCTGTCGGGGCCTGGCCTGGCCCTGCCTGCACCTTCTCCCTCAGCCACGCTCTTGTCTTGTGCAGAAGTGGGAGCAGATCGAGAGCAACTCCAAGCTGCGGCACGTGGGCAGCAACCTGTGCCTGGACAGCCGGACGGCCAAGAGCGGGGGCCTGAGCGTGGAGGTTTGCAGCCCGGCCCTCTCGCAACAGTGGAAGTTCTCGCTCAACCTGCAGCAGTAGCAGACCAGAGCCCGCGTCTGCTGCTGAAGCACTGGCCAAGCTGGTGATCACATTATCGATTATGTTTCTTAAACTTTCCGTGAAACTATATACCTCAGTATTCCATCATGGTCTGAAGCCGGAGAGCTCCAGCAAGGCGCAGCTGTGTTGACAGACGCAGCGGTGGCAGGGGGCCAGCCCCTCTGCGGGGGCCCAGCTGGCCCCTCCCATGGCCACCCTCCTCCTCCTCCTCCTCCTCTCGCTCAGTAGCCAGGAGCCACCTGGCTGAGGCACAGAGTGGAGAAGCAGCTCTGTGTGCACAGTGGCAGAGGGAGGAGGGTGCGCGGCGGCCTCGCAGCAGGAACTCTCAAAATGATCATTTTGATCCCATCAGAATCACATGTGGGCCCCACAGCATGGCTCACGTCATTGCAGGTTCCCTGTCACCCTTCCCTGCGCCTCCAGGCCTGGCGCCCTTCTCCCACTGATGTGCTTGCTGTATTTGAACGTGACTTTTCTATGGTGGGACGCTAAATATAAATATATATAAAAAGAGAATGTACGGTCAGCTCCCCACGGTCTCTCTAGGTCTCTTCTCACAGGCTCCTCACAGCGCAGCGCATGGCAGGGTGGAGGGGCCGCTTCTCCCTTGTCCCTGGAGCCTCATAGCCAGGAGACGCTACTGCGGCCAGCAGGGGCTTCCCAGAACCCTGGCCCTGGCCCACGGGCATCTCTGTGTGGCCTCCACGTGGGAGTCGCTGCTGTGTGTTAGAAAATCCATTCTCTTGGTACTCATAAGGCCAGATAGGTTACTTACTTTTAGAAGTATTGCTTTAGAGTTGTTTTTTTTTTAATTTTTTTTTTTTTCTTTAGAGGAAAAAACCCCATCCCCACAGCTCCTAATGTGAGCTGGCACTGCCCTGTGACGGGGCAGACCAATGACCCTACACAGTTGTCGCATGCTAACGCTGGGCTCGTGGGAGAATGAGACCTTATACGCAGGCCTTTGGAACTGACTCCTGCGAGTAGAGTGCTGGCCGTGAACCCCAGACCTGCTGATGGCCTGGCTCCCAGCCTGTGTGGTCGGTGTCCTTTGCCCAGCACCCCTAATGTGGCTGCTTGGAGGCTTTGGGTAGAGTTGGGAAGAGTCAGAGCCACACAGTCCCGTGCCCATACAGTGAGACAGCAGCCTGCATCCTGTGTGAATCACAGGCACAGAGGGACTGGCTGCAGCAATGGCAGGAGATGCCCGGGCACCAGCCTCGTGCACAGGAATGTCCCCACAGAGCTCCCTGGACTTTTTGGTGTCCCTGTCACGGCACGGCCCCGGCCCCATCAATCTCACGTGGAGATGTCCAGTCTCAGGCTGCTTGGGCTCAAGGTGCCTGTGCAGGCTGTGGGGGCCGTGAAGATACATGGTGGCCAGGAGTCGCTGATGCGCGCTCTTCCTGCTGGTCTCCCTCCACTGCCAGCTCACATGTGAACAGCTGACCACGGGCCCTCAGTGGAGACCTGGCCAGGTGGCCGCCCTATGTCTCATTTGCTACCCCTGCCAAGCAGCCATACACGTCTTAGAGACAGGTGACCATATGCCAGGTTAACGCCACACACTGCCGTCTTCCAAGGTGGCTCCAAGGGAAATTGCTCATGGGCACAGGTGGAGGCTCAGAGCCACAGAGCAGGGGAGGGTGGAGTCTGTTGCTCACGCCAGCACTTGGTGGCACCCCATCGCCTTTGAGCTGCTTTGTCAGACAAAACCCACAGGAGGCAGACAGGACTGGTTCCTGCAGGAGCTTGTTGAGGGGATCTGGGCCCGTAGCTCTCACCTGTGCACCTGCTGTGTTGTCCGGCCACCTGGGGGCATCATGTGGGTGGCTTCCAGCCCAGGCCTCTGGGCCAGTCCTCAAGGTGAGCCCCGTTTACAGGACACAGCATGCCAAAGTGACTTACTGTGCTCATGTTATTTTGTAGTCCTCGGGACTGTCCCACCATCCCACTCCTGTTTTTAAAACAAACTTCCCAAGAGCTGTCCGCGCACAGCAGGCAGAGACAGTTGTCTTCTCTGTGGTCCTTGTCTCTCCTTAAAAGCTGAAATGATGGTATCTGTGGGTGTGTTTTGCAAATTTAAAATATAGTTTGGTAATTTTTTTCCAGTTGATTTTTAAAAAGAACTGCTGTACAGAGCTTGTACTTTGTCCATTTTATAGATGGAAACCATCCTTGAAATTGTTTAACTTAAATAAAGAAAAGATGCTTTATAGATAGTGCCGTCTGGTGATAGCTGCAGTCTCTGGGTCTTTCTAGGGTGAGCAGCTGGGTCTGAGTACAGTGGTCCCAGTCTGTCCTCTGGGGCCTGCACGGTCACTCTTCCCCGCATGCTCTAAGAATGTGTTTGCCTGTTACTGCCAGCCTGTCTGATGTTTGTCCCTGTCTGTAATGATCCTTACTCTCTGTGAAGTGGCCATGATGTTCTGGGCACCCGGCCAAGCCCTTGAATGCATTCACATTTTACAGCTGCTGGGGAAGCTGGTGACAGGAGTGGCACCTGCTTGGGTCACACGGTTCCTACAGCCACCTGCGTTAGGCCTGGGACACTCCACTCAGGAGCCAATATGTTTGCATATTGGTGTAGGGGATGCGCCTACCCTCTCACTAGGTGTCTTTGAGTCTCTTTGGCTCCACCCAGGGTGAGCTCTGAGGCTCATGACATACGGATGTGTGAATAGCCCCAGTGTGGGTGTGCTGAGAGACTCAAGTCTGGATGGCGATGAGGCCTTGCAGGATGGGAAGGAGCTGTGTTCAGGGCCAGGAGGAACAGATTAGTGCCAAGCACACAGTGTGCCACACGGGCAAGTGGAAAGCTCGAGGGGTGGGGTGTTATGGGGAGTCCTCCCAGTGACACTGGCTGACACTGGCCAGCCCTGCACAAGTGCCCACCTCTAACTCTTACAGCCTGCAAAGATGTCACTCTCGTTTCACTGCTGGGGAAACGGCTCTGGTGAGCTGGGTTGATCGCCCAGTTCACTCGCCAGCACTTGAGGACACCCCAACTCAGACTGTCCCGGTCCTGGTCCCTGGGAGGGCCCACTGCAATGCTGTGAAGGACAAGGGCCAGGAAGGAAGCAGGCCCTGGGTGAGGACAGGACATGGCCTTGCCACTAACAGATAGAGGGGAAGATGGGCGGAGGATCCCCCACAGCAGACAAGGCTTCCACTGCGGGCCCTGCCATTCATGTCCCGCCTCGCCTTAGGACAGTGACCGAGTTTCCTCATCGGCGTCACTGTCTTAGGTGAAGTGAGAAGAGCAGATCCCCTCCTGGGCCAGCCTGACCACTGCCACCCAGAGCCTCCCAGGCTTTCCCCTGAAGGCCAGCAGGACAGTCATGGGCTCTCCCAGGGGAGAGAACGGACCTGGGACCTGGAGAGATTTCTGCTGAAGTGCCGAGTCCCTGTGAGCGCGTGAAGATGCGGTGGGGGGCAGGATGGGGAGAGCCCGGCCTTGCAGCTTACCTTGCACTCCTTGATCCTGGACCGGACTGTGAGGTGGGGTGGGGACCAGAGCCAGGCATGAAGACTGGTCACACACGAACAGGAGCTGATCCCAACAGGCAGAGCCAGCTGGAGGACGGAGGGTACGAGATAGGCCAGGCTGCCCTGCCCCAGTGGAGGAAGGTCACAGGGCGGGGCATGCTAGAGGCTGAAGAAACAGACTCAGGAGGAACAGGTGCTGCAGCAGGTGAGTTGGCCACATGGCTGCTGGCTAGGACTTGGGCAGGACCTGAGGGTGCTGGTGCGGCTGGGTAGAGGGGGAGCGTGGGCAGCCCCTTCTCCTGCCCCCAAGTGGGGTTTGGTGGCCGTTAGTGCTCAGGTGTCCCATGCTCTGGCCAGGGCTTCACAGGGCTGGACAGTGATGGTCTCCCCATTGTGCATCTGCCAGGCACCAGCCCAGTCTGTGTACAGTGTGGCACATTTTGTCACCTGACTATGGGACAGAGTCATCTGGAACTGCATTTTGAGTATGTTCAGAGCATGCCCACTCAGCACTTCCGCCTTCATTTGTTGGATGACAGCTTTGCCTGTGTCACTGTGGTTAGCAAAGCCATCTGAGCCTACTTCTGGGACTTCGGGATGTTACCCTTTGTGTCATTTACATTATTTAGAGCTTGGGAGTTAAAGGGTGCAACACCTGAAGCCCACACCTGGCCTTAGAGCTGAATCTTGTTGGGCTTGTGCAGCCCCCCAGCCCCTGCCTGCCCAGAGTTCCTCCAACTACAGGGCCCTGCAAAACCCTGGCTCAGGTGCTGGGTGGGGCCCAGGGTCCTTGTTTCTGGGGCTCCCAGGGATACTGCTGCTCTCAGGGACACTGAACTGCAGGTCTGAGCTGTTCTTGTGGAGGGCAGAGACGTGGCTCCCTGTGGTGGATGGACAGCTGTGTGAGGGACCACAGTCTCCACCCCCTTGGTGACTGGTTGTGCCGACTTCATGTGCGGCCTGGAGAAACAGTAGGTGTGATGCCCAGACCATATTGGCTTGCCTGTGGGCCCTGATCTAGGACCATGGGCCCTGTGACCTCTGGGTCCTGGGCTGTTTCTCCTCTGTTAAGTGGGTAGGTGGTAGTCACAAGGTTAGAGGACAGAGCTCCTTGTCCGGGAGGCTGCTGTCACCCTGGGAGGCAGCTTTGCAGAGAGGAGCCCCTGCTGTCCCTTGTTCTGATAAGTGCACGGCCTCCATTCCTGCCCTTGATAACGCCACTTGGTGAAGAAAAGGGATGCTTCCAGAGGCACCACATCCTGCCCCTGCCAGGGACGGCAGGTCTCCTGCTGAGGCTGCCCTGAGAGGGGGCCTTAGGTCTGGGCTGCCAGAGCAGTGAAGGCTCTTTCCTGTCAGAAGCCTCTTCAAAATGGCAGTTTGGGGAAAGAGCTGCTCAAGCTGTTCTGTGGGTCTCATATTCCTGGCCTGAATTTCATTAGTCACTTCTCTCTCTGAAGACTCGGACATTTTCTTTTTCTTTTTTTTTTTTTTTGTTCCATCTGTATTTTTTTTTAATGATTTAAAATTGTTTCCTTCCTCCTTCATGTCATGGTCTCAGAGCCTGGTCTGGGCCTCAGGGACATAAATCTCGATGCTGTCTGCACTTTCTGTGGCCAAGTTCAGCCACACAGAAGCTGCCCGCTTGGCTGCCAGGAGTCTCTTGCAGGCCTCCTGATGCTGCTTGTCCCCTGCATCTGAGGCCTTGTCATGGCTCACTGCCGGCTTGGATTTGGCTGGCTTCTTTGGGACTGGAGGGGGTGACTCAGACATTTTCATCCCAAACCTGCTTCTTTTAGCCAGATGAGCCCACCAGGCAGAAAATACCATCTGGAGGAATGTCCCCATACTGTGGAGTGCTATGGAGCAGGTGTCTGTGGGTCAGACACTGAAGTGAGGACAGGGTGGGAAGGTTTGTGGACAGACTGCATCTTGGCTGCTTGGGCCCACGCCAGCTGCCACCTGGAGCTGTTGCTGGGTGATGAGATTCAGAAAATTTGAAAAGCCCCCTCTTGCACTGTCCCCCACCCCACTGTCCCAGCACGCCCTTCCCCTGGGCCCTTAAAGTCACCTGTGCCTGGATGGATGCTAAAAGGCATCCCCCAGAGGTATGACCACAGCACTCTTTAGCTTGACTCCTCTCTACTGGCCTCCTGAGCTGTCTTGATAACCACATGATGGCTCAAAGTACAATGGACAGGGACCCGTGGCTCCTAACCTGGCCTGAGGTCTTTCTCCTATGTTCCTTGTCGTCACAAAAATAAAGAACCCCACTCCCCACAAGCTCACAATTGACCCTCCTAAGGTATTTGGCACAAGGCACTTTCTTGGGGGATTCCCAGGGCCCGCCGGTTAAACCAGGCGCATGGTGGTGCCCAGGACAGACAGGCATTGCAAGGCAGGAGGTTCTCAGTGACTAGGGGACTCCCAGAAGAGGGCAGCAGTGAGCAGCTAGCAACTGTAGAGAAGCACAGGGCTACACTGGAGGATGCTGATAACAGACTCCAGCTGCATTGGGTCCCTCTGCTGGGGACCTGGATTTGCTCCTTGTCCCAGAGGCAGATGAGTGCAAGTAGTGGGTGTGTAACTGGGTGGGGGAGACACATTGCCTCTGTCCTCATCTACAAGGTGTGTGTGTGTGGGGGGGCTATTCCTAGGTGCCATTGTGCGAAAAGCCAGGACAGAGGCCACTTTAAAAAGCCAGCTCTGGAGGGGGAGGGCTACCCAGCACTACCTAGAGGTGGTGGCCTAACACATGTGGGATGTGCCTGAGCTGTCCTTCCTCTGTTGAGTGATTTGCCTCTGGTTGCTTTGAGCAAGCAGGGAAGACCAGGTGACACTCCTGTCACCCCTGTCACCCCCAGGCCACATTTGGAGCAAATGCTGTCTTACCATGGACCTGAGGCTCCCATGTTGTACTCTGCTGCCCTCTGCTGGACATGCTGGGGGCAGCCTCATCTCCTCAAAGGAGGGGACTGAGCCCAGAAAGATGAGCAAGGGCAGTTTCTGCCACCATGGGTGGGCAGTCAGTAGAGAGATACAAACATCTCGTGTGTGGGAAATGACTGGCTCAAGGCAAGACTGGATTGTTACATATTTTTTGTTCTAACACTCGAAATGAAAGAAGACGCCTACACTGTCCTGTCTCCTGCCCTCCAGTACCCACACCAGGGAAGCAGTCCGAGGTGCTTGGATATTCCTCGGTTGTCTCCATGAATACACGTACTCTTGCAGGCCCAGTCTCAGTTTGGGGCTGGGGTCTCCTCTGCCAAGTCTCTAGTCATTCTGCCTTGCTGGATGGGAATGTGGGCCAAAGGACTGCTGCTATGGCTGGGCTGCTGGTGACCCGAGGACAGGTTTCGCTCGTCTCTGCGGGTGCCAAGGAGGGGACGAGGGTGGGAAGGACCAAGTGGGTGCAAAGTCATAGCACAGAGAGCCTGGGTCATTTATCTCCGGCCTCCTCGGGTCCAGGGACGGTCCTTTAAGCAGCAGCCTTGGTGGGTGTGCAGATGTGTTCTTTTGCCCAGAGTTTTGGGGCAGACTCTAGTTCCTTCCAAAGGAGGAAACAATCCTACATGTTTTTAGATTTGCACCCACACAGTCTGTGGTCCAAGCACAATTCCCTCGTGGTTCCTGTAACACTCTGCCTCCTCCAGCCCCAGCAGGATGTGGTCTGGCCAGTGCCCACATGTGGTTCTTACTTTTGCTGTCCTGGCCACACAGAAAGTTTGTGTCT